CCTAACATCACTAGTTTGACAACATATCTAATGTTATTGTTTTTACTACAGGCAGGGCTCGCCAGTATTGAAGCCATACTACTGAAGACACGTCTCGCTGGACTGGACACGTCTCCTCCTCCAGGATAAAGGATCACCGCCTTTCTAAGATTTTTTTTTATAGTGATTTGACTATCGGGTTCCTCAAAAGAAGAATCCCAAGAGGAGATACAAGGACGCCCTTAAAAAATATCTTAACCTTGGCCAAATACCTCCCCATCAATGGTTCATTGTCTTCGAATCGGGAGACATGGAGACATATCATCCATGATGCTGCTGCTTCCTTCGAGAACACACGCAAAACCAACTTTGAGGACAAACGACAATGCAGAAAAAACCGTATTTTATCAATACTAAGAAGACCTTTCGTTGTGTCATTTGCATTCGAACTTATCTGTCCCTCATTGGCCTTATTAGTTATCAGCGTCCCTGTACCAAGCGTGGGTATATCACATATCTTCGTTCGTTAAGCTTAGCCACGACGATTAGAGTACGTTAATTCTAGTCATCTTCAAGCTTATTTCTGCCTAACTCTCAAGCACTTGGAGAAATTGTCAAAAAATATGATAACAGGGTGTCTTGCTTTAGGATGGTACTTTGATACGTCCATCAGTAAATCCATGCTTGCATAACGAAATACAACCTAATGTACGAATTACTGGACTTCTCTTCGAGAACGACATTGCTTTGATTTTACCACAAATGAAAGCGCTAATGTCGCTGAAACAGTATCGTAGAAAACGAAAAGTAATCGCTAATCCAAGCTACTGGTGGAGAAGCTCATCAATTGCATATCGTTTTGGAAATGGAGATAGTTCGTCTATTCCATCTTATACTAATTTATCTACAATTTATACGAAATTTATTTTCAGCTTTTTAGATGTATAGATTTTGTAATGTAATTATAAGTAATTAACGGTCAATTTGCAGTTATCGTACAAAATTATTGCTTTTCAACATTTCAGCAGATTGGCAAGATTACATTCGTAAAGCACTTCATAACTGGGAGCAAGAGACATGCTTACGGTTTGAGGAAAATAAACCGGATAATGATTATTTATTCTTTATCATTGGAAGTGGGTATGTTTCCCGACATATAAATTTTTTCATTTCAAAAATTTCACTTGAATGTTTTGTCTTTTTTTTATCAAAAATTTCATTTAAATGTTTTGTCTGTTTCCGGATTACTTCATTAGATGCGCAAACGATTAATTTCTGAATATAAAAGCAATTACTGGAACACGAACTATTGACAGTTATGAGAAAAGCAAAATGTATCTTCCGGAAGTTTGTTATTTCTGGGCTGGCTAAGCAAAAGTGAAATGATCCCAAAATTTTAGCTTAATCATTGGATGGAGTAGAAAGATAAACTTGTCAGCTAGCATTATTGGCCTTTTCAGGTGGCTTACAACGAGTAAAAAGTTTTCAACATTTATGCCTCAACAAATGCGTAGTAATTTTTACCCCTTCAAATAATTTTAGGCATTTCATTTCACATTGCTGTTTAAACTGCTAGAATGAATAAAATTTTGAAAAAAAGTCGCTTGAAAAATTTTTTCTTTTCAAATTGAAAAATTTCAACTATTTCTATGAAGCTAGCTTAATTGTCTTTTCCAGATGTTATTCGCATGTTGGAAGATTGGGCGGTAGCCAAACAATTTCTATTGGTTATGGCTGTGAAACTGTCAGTCTTTCAATACACTTATTTTTAAAATTATTTTTCGTTTCAAATTAATTATAAGCAAATTTCAATAAATTTCCTTTTCTAAAGTTTGGAATTATTTCACATGAACTTGGCCATGCATTGGGATTTTGGCATGAGCAGGAGAGATGGGATCGTGATAAATATGTCCGTATCAATCTACAAAATGCGATTAGTGGAACTGAAGGAAATTTTGAAAAGCTCAATCCGTCGCAACTTAAAAACTTTGGAGTTCCATATGATCTCGGATCCGTGATGCATTATTCCACCAATGTAAGTTTGCTTTATTTATCGTGCACGAATAGCTGTGCTCAATTGCGCCCAAATTGAAAATTTATTGATTTTTTAGGGGGCGAAATCTCAATTTTTGAGGAAAAATAAAACTTTTCATTCATGAATTTTGATATTTTTATTGTCAAAAATAACAGGAAATCATTTCGAAAAAAATTAGTGAAAAAAGATTCTTTGATAATTTTTTTAAAACTTTGAATTCAATCTAAATAATTGAATTTTAAGATTAAGTTCATTTAATCTATTAAATATTTCTTTGATAATTTTTTAAAACTTTGAATTCAATCTAAATAATTGAATTTTAAGATTAAGTTCATTTAATCTATTAAATAAATGAAAGTAATCAGAAGTGTTATTGCTTCAAGGGGGAAAAAAAAAAGATTCTTTACTCAAACACTAAACTCTTTTGATGGAATTAATTACTTCGATAAAAATTTCAATAATTTCCACCTATGCTGTAAAAATTTTTGTAGGAATCATTGACTTACTGTTTTGTACTCAAAATGATTTAAGTAATTTCATCGGTAACTTAAAAGAATGCGATTAAAATCCATATAATCGAATTTTTTTTTAAATTTGAAGGAATAAGACAATAAAAATTT